GAGGCAGTCTCATGTAAACCTCTTCGTGAAGCTCTCCATGCAGAAACATGTTATTAACGTCAAGTTGCTCCAAATGCCAGCCCCTCGCAGTGGCAACGCTGAGAAGAATCATAATGGTAGCAACTTTTGCAACTGGAGAAAAGGTATCGAGAAAGTCCACGCCTTCAAGTTGGGTATAACCCTTAGCTACAAGACGTGCCTTATGACGTTCAATACTGCCATCAGCTCGGAGCTTTGTTTTAAAAACCCATTTGCATCCAATGGGATGCTTACCAGGAAGAAGTTCTGTAAGAAGCCAAGTATTGTTCTGTTCAAGAGCTCGAAGTTCAGAGGCCATTGTATCTTTCCAACAACCATGTTGAGCAGCTTCATTATAGGTTTGAGGTTCGCACGTGGTGTTTATACTATGACAAAGTTTGGTGTGTATATTAGGACAAGAGTCATAGGATAGGAAAGAGGATAAAAGATATGGTGTTGAGGAAGCAATATTGCAATGGAAGTCATTTAAGTAGGTGGGGTTACGTCGGGTGCGATTAGACCGACGAGGAGAAGGATTAGAGGAATTAGAGATAACTGGTTCAGAGATAACTGGCTCAAAGGTAGGTACAGTATATTGAGGAGAAGAAATAAGAACGATTTGTGTTTGTGTTTGAGTTGGAACAGGTTCTGCAGGTATGAGGTTAGATAAATTTGAAGTTTGTATTTGAGGCTGGTAAGGGATAGGAAAGTCATCAAAGGTAGTGTTCGTATTTGAGGTTTGTCGTTCTGTGGCTATGTGAGTTGAGTCTTGGGAAGAAATATTGAATGGAAAGTGCTGCTCGTACAATACCACATTTTGGGAAATAAAGACTTCATGAGAGTTAAGATCCAGTAAAACATACCCCTTTGTACCAAGTTTGTAACCCAAAAACAAACATTTTCGAGCTCGAGAAGTAAATTTGGTGCGTCCAGTAGTGAGAGAGCTTGCGTAACATAGGCACCAAAACACTTTTAAATGGATGAGTATGGGTGGCTGACCATAAAGTGACTCATATGGAGTTTTTCCAGCAAGAAAGGGACTACTAACTCGATTGATGAGGTGTGCAGCATGTAGAATACAGAATAACCAGAACTTCAAAGGGAGTTTAGCTTGAAAACATAAGGTTCTTGCCACATTAAGAATGTGTTGATGCTTTCTTTCCACCACACCATTCTGTTGTGGACTCTGAACGCATGAAGTATGATGTATTACTCCTTTACTTGCATAAAAATCATGCATCATGAATTCTGCACCATTGTCACTCGAATCACCTTAATAGAGGTGCCAAACTGGTTTTCAATTAGCTGGAAGAAATTACGAAGATGGATACGTGTTTCTCCTTTGTGTTTCATCAACACCACCCAAGTAAATTTGGAAAAATCATCCACAATGGTCAAAAAATATTTGTCACCATTAGATGAAGGTACTGAAAAAGGACCCCAAATATCTGTGTGGATTAGATCAAAAGGCTTTTGCGAAGTGCTGTTGATGTTAGAATATGGTAATTTCGCTGCTTAGCAAAATGACAAACATCAAAAGGTGCTCCTGCCTTATTACAATGTACAAAGGGAAAATGATTACACATATCTGTCATTACAGCATCAGAAATGTGACCTAAACGATAGTGCCATAAAAGAGAAGTGTCAACAGTGACATTGCTAACACATTTATTCAAAATAACATTCATAGCCATGATTGGCTTGACATAATTAGCAGAACAAGAAGCATCAGCAACCTTTATCTATTATGTTGAGTCTTCTGCTTCCAGAATGAAGAGTCCGTTATGCAATTTACCAGAACCAATTACTTGGCTCGAAAGGATCTGCTTTATATAACAAATAGAACCACGAAATATGAGTTCATATTGTGTCAGTAATTTTGCAACTGAAATCAAGTTTACCTGAAATTCAGGTACATATAACACATCAACCAGTTTCAATGATGAAGATAAAATGACTGTGCTAGAGTGCTGTGATAATACCTTATGACCATTAGGAAGCGTGATCATTATAGGTTCAATTTTCTTAAAATAAGAAAAATGAGAAAGTGTAGAACTTATATGATCAGTTGCCCCTGTATCCACAACCCAATGGACAGAAGGCTTACCATTATTGGCGCTCAGAGCCATTCCTTGAGTAATTTGTATCATGTGTGCACTATGAGATGCAGTGCCTTCATTTCCAGATTCCATCTTAGTCTGGTGGAAAAGATCAGTAAGGTTTTGATACTCTTCCTGACTAATTGTAACAGATCTAGCATCTTCTTTCACATCACTAGAGTTCTCAGAGATTTCTACTGCATTGGCGAAAGCTACATTACTCATATTTCGAAAACCTAGTGGATATCCATGTTTAGCATAACATGTGTCCACTGTATGATTATTACGTCCACAATGAGTGCACAATTTTGTTCCTCTTCCTCGACTAGCCTTGAATCTGTTCGGAACAAAATTACGAGTACATTGTTGAGCAGCAGTATATGCTTTTGTATCAATACCAGCCTCAATCACATTTTCAGTATTCATCTGACGTTGTTGTTGAATTACTAAAGAGAAAGCCTTGTTCATACTTGGAAGCGGATCAATTAACATGATTTGAGGACGTACGTGAGAGAATTGGTCACTTAAACCTTTCAAGAATCTTATAACTTGATTCTGTTCACGACATTTCTTGAATTTCTCAGCTGCTCCACAGGTACAAATTGGTATTGGCTGTAGATTCTCCAATTCATCCCAAAGAGTTTTCAGCTGAGTGAAAAACTCGCTTACTGTGCATTCTCCCTGATGCAGATGATGAACATCTTCTTGTATATCACCAATACGAAATACATCCGTTTGTGAAAATCTCTCATTGAGATCTTTCCAAACTTCATGAGCCTTTTCCATCCATATGATTGATTTTACAATAGATCCTTCAATTGAGTGGTGAATCCATTGTAAAACCATCGTATTACAGCGGTCCCAAGCAGCAAAAGTAGGATCATTTTCTTCTGGAATCTTGAAAGTTCCATCTACTAGACACAATTTATTTTTGGATCGTAAGGCCATTTTCATCGATCTTTGCCAAGAATGAAAATTCTTGCCGTTGAGAAGAGGAGTAACTAGAACAAGATTCGGATTTTCTGATGGATGCAGATACAATGCATTAGCTGGGTTCGTGAGATGATCCGGGAGGGAGCTTTGGTTCGAATTCGAATTCACCATAGTGATTAAGAGGAAAATCACGAAAGAAAGTGACGAAAGAAAGGTTTCAGATAACAAGAAGATACCAGAGCCCCCTCAGAGCTCTGATACCATATCAGAACCCAAGGAGTAAGAGAGAAAAATGAATGAGAAATTCATATCTGAATATTGCATTAATGAAAAAGTAAGTACAATATGAACAGGTACTCCATTTATATACATGGAGTGAAAACAGAACTAACTAACCGAACTATCTTCAGTTTTAACAAACTCTACAAAGCCAACTACTTATCTAACTAACTCACCTACTGATAAATACAATCATCTGATACAACTCGTATACTGATGATAAATAACAAATATCAACACGTCCTATTTACGTATGTAATTTGCTCCCACATTGTGTTTTGTTTCATTAATTAGGAAGACTTTTCAGAAAATAGAAAAGAAATTCAAGAAAGACACGTATATCTACATGATAATTTTCCCTATTTTCGACGGCATGCCTTAATATTTTAAGGGAAAACATTTTCTCCTTTTAAAGGAGAAAATTTTTCTCATGTTACTGACTCATAATGTAAGTGTGGCCCACAAAATAGTGGAGAGAGAAAAAGTTTCAAGGTGAGACCCACTTATGCTATGAGTCACTAACATGAAAAAAAATTTCTCCTTTAAAAGGAGAAAATGTTTTCCCATATTTTAAATAGATAAATTGTTCTCAATACGGTGTTCTTATTCCCTTGTAGCCTCTTTTCGTCTAATTAAATATCTACTAAAACCGTCACTAAAACTCTTTTTTGTTGTAGTAATTATTTAAATCGCATGTCCAATGTAATCTGTATTATGACATTTTATCTTGTGATATGGTACGATGCATATACTATCCTAAGATTAGCCAAATACTCTACGAAATAACTGTTCCTACACTTCTCAGTTACAATGAGCATTTTCTAAAAATATTTGTATATGCTTAGTTAATGTATTCTTAAGAGAATATTCTCATGATTTTTTATTTCATTGGATCTGATTAAAATTTTATATTTTGAGAAATTTAACTTTGATTTAGATTTATTTAAAATTTTATATTTGATATAATTTATTATCTTTTGAGTTATAAATATTTTATATTATTATATAATATTAAAAATTTTCTTTTTCTCTTAAAATATCTAAAACTCTAGTCAGAGTAAACCTAAAGTACTCTAGGTAGCTTATTCAACATCAATAAACCTAAATTTTTGTTATAATTTTTCTTTAGCTGGCGAAATTTTTTAAAATAAAGCGAATAAACCTTGTGATAATTATTTCTTAATTCCTTCAGAATCATAATTCCCGATTGGATACTTAAAAGGAGGAACAGTCAAAAGTTGTAATTGAAATCCTTCTATTTTGGAGAAAAAAAAATGTTAACAAGTGTCCTTATGTAACTGATTAAAGAACTAAAAATGAAAAGCGCGCACTGGATAAAAATAAAAGGTAAAACTTCTTAAATTCTAACTATATTAAAATCTGTATTTTTATTATATACCTTAATTTTTAAATTTTTAACATGACCTTTTGAAAAAAAAAAATATCAATTCATATTAACTTAATTATTTTATATAAATTATTCCTTTTGCAGCCAAAATCAAGGTGACAAATTGAAACCATTAAGGAATTATACATTATTAGTCAAGCATGTAGCCCATCGCATATTTATACATACAATATTAATAACAGTAAATGGAATCATCTCAAAACCATATAAACAAAACTTGTGCCTGACAAGAATAAAAAAAAATAAAAAATTGAAGTCCCATTGCATAAAAAGCAATCCAGAATATGAGACTCCATGCGACATCATAACAATTTATTCAAACAACATATTTATTTATTCATACAACAATTCACCATATATAACTGAACAAGTTATGGAACCTTTAAAAACGTAAAAGAAAAGAACAACAATACATACTAAGACAAACAGGGTAAAATCTAAAACGATACACAGAGTTCACCTTAAAACATGAAAATCAAAATCACTAATAAGTCACTGTGGCTTATTGTTGCGCCTGCAGAAACTGACACCTCTATTCTTTGGATCACCAGGACATGTTCCCACGAATTGTGCGCTGTTAAGGCAGGAAGAGGAACCATATTGGGAATCTGGTGGACAGTCACCCCGTACTGCTGTAAATTGATCGAGCGACCCAAAAGAAATTGGAGGATCACTGGCAAGCATTCTTCGTAATCCATGTTGATCCATGAACAAATCAGCTTCGACATCATCGTCAACTTGGCAGTGAAGCCCAACGCATCCATAAGTGATGTTGTTCTCTGATGCTGATGAGTTCTTCTCCTTAAAAGAATCCGCAGCAACCATGTTATGGTTTGATTGGATGAGTGCTGTCACCACTATCATGAGCAACATTAGACAATAGAATCCCCTCATTTTTGTTGTAAGAGAAGGAAAATAAAATAAAAAGCTCTACCAATCTTGTGGGTGGCAATTTCCAATTCTTGCTAACATCAACACAATTGGTCTTTATATATAGATTAAAAGGATGACAAAAGGTTCCATATGAAAAAAATCTCTCTCTCGCTCTGGCCACTCATACAAAGATAACACAGGGAACCCATGATTCTATTCATATTTTATGAGTAGCTCTTCAAAATATTCAGCTTTAAATGGCTTAGATAAAAATTTTATTTATTTTTTAAATAACACGCATCCTTTAATTTATGGGGGGAAGAAAGCTTTTTATTGTTATATTATATATATTTTTGAGTAAAATAGGTTGCAAAAAATAACGTTAAAAAGTCTAAAATGCAATAAACAATAAGCAAAAAGTAAAAGTTGGGTAGAATATATATATATATACAATTTCTAAAAATAACACTGTTATCTTTACAATATTTCATTTTTTCTAATATCATTTTACACCTTTTTACTAGAAGAAAAAAAGAGAAAGAAGGTTTTTCTTCTTCTTTGTCTTATCTTTTAAGTATAGGAAATGAGGCATAAGATTACTACTATTATTATTCTAAAAATATAACATGTTTGGTAAGATTATATAAAAATCAAATAACCAAATTGCCCCGTAGAACAGTATTTGCTATCATGTTTATGTCCACGTACGAAGGCATGCACTAGACACGTGAACTCAACAAACTTCGTTAAAATCGATCCATTGCATTGTCTTTTTTATTCATTTATTTGGGCACTTTTAGTTTCAACTACTTTTAAAAGTTTTGCTATTTATGTACTAAAAAAAAAATTGTTATTTAACTTTTTATAATTTTATCTTTTTTTGTCATTTCCTTTATGTAAATTACTTTTCTGCAAGTTTGACACATTTATATTTTATGAGGAGTGATTAGTTTATATTTTTTTTTTACAAATTACACTAAGTATGACCGGTCATACATTATTGATTACTGTATGACTGGTCAGATATAGTATAGTTTGTAAACAAATTTTTTTTAAATATAACATTCTCCATATTTTATTAGTAATTTTTTTTTAGTACAAAAAAAGTTTAGGCGGAGTTAAATGTAGATATCCCATTTAAGTTAGGACAAAATTCTAGGAGGGTAGAAGGATAATATATAGAGGGAAAAATGTTTGTCTTTTAAATAACACAACTTGTGTCATTTTACTCTCACAAAGAGGTGGAACCAACACTTTTATATCTTTTTGTCCTCTCTCTTCCTTTATATATCACTTTCTTTCACTTAAAATGACACAACTTTATATCTTTTAAAATAATACACACTTTTCTCATATTTAGACTGTACTACCATCGCAATCCTCACTTCAATCAGCGAGATATACCACCAAGGTCATAGCAAAATTCTGGGAGGGCAAAAAAACGCATTACTAATGAAGCCCTCACATCAGTTAGTGATATTTAAACTCAAAACATTTTTTGGTATGAGCTAAATCTTTAACCAACCGCATCCACCCTTGTTTTCTATTAGTAAACTTTTTAGCAATTTATATTTCAGTTACCCAAGACGTCACATGAATTAACATCCTATAAGAGGAACTACACATTCCAACAGGCCTCCTTCCCAACCCCTTTCTCTTCCCTAATATCTTCCTTGTAAACCTTCTCACACACTCAAGAGCCTCTCCTCCCATTAAATCTTGCTTATGTTCTCTCGCTACTTTCGTATTCAGTTAAATATTTTAAACTATTTCTTGTTTTTTCATTACTCTTAATATTAGTTATTTTATTTTTTTGTTACATTCATTATCGATTTTAATGTTAGTTATGTCATTTATTATTGAGATGTGGTTTAATAATACATTTAGTTATACCATTTATTATTTATGCTTTACGAATCACATATATTTTTTAAGATAATTAGTACACTACTAAAAAATGCTTCTTCTTTTTTTTTACGGAAAAATTCCATCGAAAATGAAGTTTTCGACGAAATTAGAGATACTGTCGAAAATCTTTGATCAAAAATCAATGAAATTTCGTCGAAAATTATTGGGATGGTTTTCGATGGAAAATGGTTTCCGTCGAAAATTTTCCACAGAAAACAAATTCTGTCGAAAATTTTCGACGGAAAATCAATAGAATTGTTTCGAAAATTGTTGTTATGGTTTTCGATGAAAAATGGATTCTGTTGAAAATTTTCAAGAAAAAATCAGTGATATCTTACTATTACCATTTTATTGAGTTTAATATAGATATTGTGATATCTTATGTTTCTTTGCAAAATTGATGTGGTATTATAAGTTTAGTTTTTTTTTAAAATTATTAAATATTAAATATAATAGACACTCCATAAATTAAAAATGGGTAATACTTTTCTAATTTAACATGAGAGAAGTTTTTTTTCTACACTAACAAGAAATGTGTAGCCCACAAGTTAAAGAAAAATAAAAAAGAAAAGAAATTGCAAACACGTCTTTTCATATCTCTATCACATGAGATAGATATCTCCTACAGTTGAAGAAAATAATTTTTCATTAAAAATATATATTTAATATCAAAACATGTTCTAACGTGTCAAAATTTAACATTTTTTAAAATTAACGTGTCGAAATATTGTCTCTTATCTATGTCGATGTCGATGAAACATAAGTCAGAAACTCTCACAGATATTAGATGCCATATTCACCTGTTATGATTTTTATTTTTATTTTTGTAGATTTCCTTTAATTTGTGAAAAAAATTTGATGTCATTCTCTTTTGTTGTTCTTCTATTTTCTTCTTTTCTTCTCTCTCTTTTCTTTGAATACTGTGTGAGAAATAACAAAAAAGGTTGGTATATGAATATATGTGGGATAAAAGCTTGCAAGACCCTCTGATAATGGGTTTTTGAGTATGAGTTGGGGAGAGCAAGTTTTGCATAATATCATATGTTGCTAGCGCATAGGAGTTCTTGTGCCTTGGGATATTATATCAACCAAGCAATGTTTAGCTTGATGCAAAGTACTGTGGGAAGATTTGGACTTCGTGTTGTCAAGGATTAAGGTGGTGGGTGAATTTGGTGCGGATTAGCGGTGGTAATATGGGTTGAGTTCGGGGGTCAACCCATCAATCCGTTAAAACGGGGCGGGTTGGGCTGAGGTTTTCAACCCACCAACCCACCTCAACCCGCCCCGTCTAGAAGTGGGTCAAAACGGGTTCAACTCGCTGTGGGGTGGGTTGACCTGCCGGGTTATATTTTTATTTATTTTTTTACAATTAGGTAGTATTTCATTAGTCCTTAAATTTTTGTGATATTCAATTTATTTTTTTTATCTTAGTACTTCCTAGAAAAAATAAAGAATAACAATTTTATTTATGATAAATGTTATCTATATATAAATTTCTAAAAAATGTTTGACAAATATTAGTATACATTTAAGATTGAGACTAAAAAAATATAGAGAAGTGTGAAATAAAATAAAATAATATTATAAAAATTCATAAAATATAATTTATTTTTGAATTTTAATTAATTGGTGGGTTGGTGGGTTGACCTGCCAATCCACCACAAAACGAGATTAGTTTATTTTTTCAACTCATATTTTTTGGCGAGTCAACCCGCCCCGCCCCGTTTTTGACGGGTTGGTGGCGGGACGGGGCGGGTCGGGGATATGAATTATTTTTGTTGACTTATGTATCTAAATTTGTGGGTTGTGAAAAATTAAATAAATGTAAAAACAAGAGAAAAAGAATGAAATATGAAACTGAATAGAAAATGGAAGAGAGGGAGTAACTTCTCGTAACAAAACATTAATGGAAGAAAGAGAAAAGAAAGATGCATAAAAAAACACAAAAGAATGAAAGAGAGAGAGAGAAAAAAGTAGAGGCAAAAAGATATACACAAAAAGCTTTATGATAAAACAAAAAACAAAAAGATATGTCACATGTCTCACTTTTATTCAGAATATATTGATATTTCGACTATCTAATTTGTTATTATTTATAACAAATTAGGTGACCACGGATAATATAACCCATTTGCAAACTAAATTTGCTATTTATTATAGTAAATTTGCATGTGTGGCAATTTGTAAAATTTTATATTTACCTCGCATTTGAGCAATTTGTTTTTGAAAGAGTGGCACATGAATCACTCTTCTTGAATGTTGCATTACAGTTGGCCGACCTATGGTATAGTTCTGGAAAAAAAATTAATTTATTATTTTTTTAATAAAAAATTATGAAAATGTAATTATTTTGAAATTAATTACATGAATATAGCAATCAAATACGTTCACATGCAGCAGCGGACCTACTTGGGTGCACATGAGTGCAAGTGCAGACCCTAACTTTTGAATTTTGTTTTTTTGTTTTTTTGAGTTCACTACAATGATGTGTTTATGAAGGATTTGAATATAGGGTGTGGTTGCTAGTATATATAGCCTAAAGGAAGTGGAGGTTGCAACGCGTGGATTTGATCAATGGAATGTGATTGCGGAAGGAGAGTATAGTGTTGTGTATAGAGGAGTTTTGCAAGATGGTTCTGTGGTGGCTCAAAAATCTTCTTAACAACAAGGGTAGAATGTGTAGACATAAATAATATTTTATAAGTCCGCTACTGCCCACATAGGACGTGATCCAGTAAAGATAGATATGCCCATGTGAGACGTGACCTAAGAGAGAGATACGCTCACATGGGACGTGATCAAGAAAGAGACACACTCATATATAGTGTGATCCGATGAAAAGAGACACGTTCATGTAAAACGTAACCTAAAAAAAATACGCCCATATAAGATATGATTAGGAGAGAGACACGCCAAGATGAGCGTGACCTCCCTGGTCCTAGTTTCAAGAAATGGGGAATAATAAAACTTGAGTGGAAGAAAATCTTGACAAATCCATAAGACTAGACTTGGCCTATGTTGGCTGACCCTTTCCTGCGCTCTGACTTGTAATTTTTCAAGTTTCAAAATTTCAAACCTTTCAGCTTTCAATTTTCAAACCTTTCAGCTTTCAATTTTCAACCTGCGACACAATAAAACCACCAAATCATCATGTGACTGTTGGAGTACGGATACGAATCGAAGAGAATTTTTTGAATTTATTTATTTTGATCATTTTAAATGATTAAAATAACTCA